AATTAACCTTAGATACAGGTTTAAAAAACATTTAAAGCCTTTTTGTAGAGGTCCTTTAGTACAGACAGATCTTTTTTTTTTTTTTTTTTTTGTAATGTCAGATTTAAATGCAGTGATTCCTCTGTAGCTCACTCTGTAGCTCACAGACTTCTGCAGTGGAAGGAAACTTACGTGTGATAAAGTGCACATTATTTCTTTTCCCACCAAAATTTAGGAACTACAACCAAAATCACTACAATTCCCATGACGTCCAAACCCAATGTGATTGTTGTGCAAAAGACTACTGGTAAAGGAACTACAATTCAAGGGCTTCCAGGCAAAAATGTTGTCACCACGCTGTTGAACGCTGGGGTAAGTAAGAGTTTCCAGTCTCAGCTGTCGAGCGAGAGGCTGCGTGGTGGCTGCTGTGTTTGTTCTGCTAAATTCCCTATTAAAAGCAAACTGCGCATGAGCTCCTTAACAGATACAGCATGCCTTAATGTCAGGGATGTTTGAAAAGCAAGGATGTCTTGGCAGGGTGTGAAAGATGCTTAAAACAAGCTGGGAATGTCCTCAAAGGAAAATGAAAACTGTTGAGCTTGCTTTTTTTCCATGGTTAATGATTTTTGTAATCTGGAAGGGATTAAGTAGGAGCAAATTATTAGAATCTTACCCTGTTTGTGCTCTAGTGAGAACCACGGTCCTGTGTTATAGACCTGCATCTCCAACCATTTATCTTTTGGATGTAAAGGGCAGAAATAAACTGTCCCCTCACAGTAAGGGGTAGGGTATCACCTTTCAATTTCCATGGTGTGTAACACAGTAATATCCTGTACCTGAGTATTGTATCGTGTTCAGTTATTTTTTGATCACCTGATGTGTACCAAGAGCAAAATCAAGTTTCCAGCTCTAGCTGGGTTTACCTATAAGTGTTAGTAAATAAAAATGATGACATGCTTTATGTTCCTAGATAGAACTGTGAGATTTAATGTGTTAATCATGTAATCTTTAAAAGTCTGCTTGAGTAGCAGGGCTGAGTAGAGAGATTTTCTTTTTTTTAAAAAAAAAAAACTTTTAGGAATTTTTTTAAAGATTTTGAACTTTCCTAGTTTACAAAACATAAAGCTGTATTTTCTGTCGGGTTCTCACATACACAAGAGAAAATCTTGTGCTGTTACATAGTAGGAACCACCAGAATGTAATGATATTTTTAGAACAAGTGTAGTTCTTGGAGATTTCCAGCTGCACGATGGGAATGGGTAGGAATACTGGGAGAACTGGCAATGTTCTTTTTTTCTCATCTGGTTTGTTACTGTGTGGAGCTAAAAAAAATAGAAAGCTTGCTCAATGTCTTTGCTTTTCTTAAGCTATCAGGAGTCTAGTCATATGCCAGCATTATTCCAAAATCAAATGTTTCCTGTGAAACAGCTGCAAATCTGCATTTTTGTAATAAGTGAACTTTTAGTTTAACAAAAAAAGTCCATGTTTAACTAATGTCTTGATCCTAGGGATAAGACAGAGATCTACATTTCAATAATTCCTTTTTAGAATCTCAGTTCAAGTTTTGTAGATGTCTTGCCAAAGTTAGTGTTAATAGAAGTAAGAAGTTTTAAAAAAAAACATTTGAGGAGGACTTGTGTGAATTCTTTGAAGCAACTTGAAAAAAAAACTTGTCAGTGTCTTTTAGTTAATCTTTTTCCTTCACCCCTTCAGAGCAGCTCAAAAGGTAAAGTAATGGAAAGGGGATTTTGGTAGCTTTTCCATTCAAAGCCATAGAGTTTTTTGTTCTTGGTCTTTGATTGGTATTTGATACCAAAAAAAAACTAGTTGCAGCAGCAGCAGGTTGATTTCATGGTACACACGCTCACCTATAACTGTGTATTTTTTTAGAGAAGTGGGTCTCTCTGAAGAATTTCACTAAGTTAACCTGTAAACTTTGACTTCTCTACAGGGGGAGAAAACTATTCAGGCAGTGCCAGCAGGAGCAAAACCTGCTATCATCACTGCCACAAGACCCATCACAAAAATGATTGTTACACAGCCAAAAGGAATAGGGTCCACGGTCCAGCCAGCCACCAAAATCATCCCAACTAAAATTGTTTATGGTCAGCAAGGGAAAACGCAGGTACAGTGAGGACCCATTTCTGTCTTGAAATGTACCCCTAAATTTTAATGGGAAGTAAATAATTTTTCAACTGTGTTGCCGCATTTGTTGCAGGATTAATATATGTCTATGGGGAATAAGACTTAGGGGTGTAACCAGGTGGCCTTGATTCTGATTTCTTGAGCACAGTGTTTGCATTTGTTTGCTGTTTCTGGAGGCCTAGAGCAAGCCAGAAGTATTTACTAAGCCTTTTATGCAGCTGAAACTGTCTGGTCGTGGCTCTAGATGCCTGTTTAAGTCTTGCAGGTAATGGCTAGATCGTGAGAAATAAAGACACGGAGTCTGGACATAGGTCATCCATCAAATCTGAGGTTTTATTGAAGTTATTTTCTCGTTAATTTTATGTTCAGGTTGTTCCCTGCAACTTTGTGTAGTTGCTGGGGCTGTATACAGAGAATCTGGCTTATTTCTGGACGTTTTCAGTTTCAGCTTTTTCTCTGGTTGCACTTATTATCTAAAAGAACTAAACTTTTATCAGATACCTTATTTTGCATGTCTTGATTGTTCAAGACTGTATTTATTGCGGGCTGTGGAGGAGAGGTGCTTGTCCTTACCAGTGCAGTGCATGTTCCAGCTCACTTGCGTAGCTTTCTCTTGTCACACCATAGTTGTATCCAGCCCTGAAAAATGACTGTTTAGTGATTTATTGTGTTGAGTACTTCAAATTATTGAGTGAGAAGTACGTTCTTGTGCCTTTGTGGTTTAATAATCAGAGCTGCTGAATTTACAGGTAGATTTTTTTTCAGTAAATTATTAATGTTATGTAGGTCTTTACATTGATCCAAGTAGCACCCTGTTCTCTGATTGCTCAGATCTCGTCTTTTGAGGGCTCTTACTATACCCAAAATTTGTCTTTCTAATTAGGTTCTCATAAAACCAAAGCCAGTGACGTTTCAAGCAACAGTTGTGAGTGAACAAACTAGGCAGTTGGTGACTGAAACGTTACAGCAGGCGTCGAGGGTAGCGGAGACAGGAAATTCATCTCTCCCAGAAGTGAAAGAAGAACCACAAACCTACACCGAGAGCAGTTCTTCTTCTACAGAGTCCTCCCAGAGCTCCCAAGGTGTGTATTAACGTCACATGAAATATGAACGAGCTGTCTCACATAACTCACTGTCTCCTTTTAGCACAAGTTTTCACCCAATCAGTTAGCAGTGAGTGTCATTGTTCACTTCCCTTAGGGCTTTATTTATCTTTTACAAGCTATTTATGGAAATCATAGAATGGTTTGAGTTGGAAGGGACCTTAAAGACCATCCAGCTCCAACCCCCTGCCATGGGCAGGGACACCTCCCACCAGACCAGGTTGCTCAAAGCCCCATCCAGCCTGGTCTTGAACCCCTCCAGGGATGGGGCAGCCACAGCTTCTCTGGGCAACCTGGGCCAGTGCCCTACCATGCTCACAGTAAAGAATTTCTTCCTAAATATCTCACTTAAATCTCCCCTCTTTCAGTTTAAAACTGTTACCCCTTGCCCTATGGCTCCACTCCCTGATCAAGAGTCCCTCCCTATCTCTCCTGTAGGCCCTCTTTAGGGACTGGAAGGCTGCTATAAGGTCTCCCCGGAGCCTTCTCTTCTCCAGGCTGAACACCCCCAACTCTCTCAGCCTGTCCTCACAGCAGAGGGGCTCCAGCCCTTGGAGCATCTTTGTGGCCTCCTCTGGACCCATTCCAACAAGGTCCTTCCTGTGTTGAGGATTTTAGAGCTGGAGGCAGTACTCCAGGTGGGATCTCACCAGAGTGGAGCAGAGGGGCAGAATCACCTCCATCACCCTGCTGGCCATGCTTCTTTGGATGCAGCCCGGGATGCTGGGGGCTTTCTGGGCTGCCAGCACATGTTGGTGGCTCACATTGACCTTCTCGTCCACCAACACCCCCAAGTCTATATGTCTCCATTTCCTATATGAAAAGGGGAGAGAATTGTTTCTTGCTGGGGTCTGACTTGCTGTTCCAGTGCCTTTTCCAGCCTGTTCCTTCTTTTGGGGGAGTTTGCTACACTGCTTACTTCTAGCAGTTTTTTGGGTTTCTTTTTGGCAGCCCGTGCTCTGCCACCCTCTTTCCTGACTGTATGGAAGCATCTCTCCACTGGGTGATTGAAAGTTGTCACAGGACCACAAATTTTGGTCCTTTTCTAGGCATGCATATATACATCAGGATATATATCAGACATGCAATGCTGATGGGGATGCTGCCATGGCTTCAAGTCATGATACAAATACAGCTCTTTGTGTGGTAGAGGAGGATTAATATAGGGTGGAGATAACACCTGGTCTTTGGTCAGGAGTGGCCATAGGGTGTATCCCTACATCAGAAAAAAGCAAAAGTATATACTTACATCCCTTTCAGTCACCTTTTCTATATAATTCTGTAACTGTTGGTCTATATGGCCCTTTTAAGTAAAATAAAAAAAGCTGAAGATGCAACAAACTTATAAAAAATTTAGGAGCTGTTAATGCGGAATGTTAATTAGCACTAGTACATGTTGATCACCTGAACTGCTAAAACATTCTGAAAAAGTTTGATCCAGGGCAAATTCAATATACAAAGAAACCTAGCGAACTTTGATTGTTCAAACCAAAGGTTTTAGATACAGGATCTTTTTTTTTTTTTATGCTCGAAACTGTTCATAACATCAGCAGAGTTTTCCTTTGAGTCAATTGTAATAAAAGCTAAGGCATTGAGGAATGAGAGCACGAATCTTTGGCAGTGTTCAGAACTCTAATGGATAATGTCTAACCTGGTCTGATTTTGAACTATAGCCCTGCTTTAAAGCAAGAAGTTGGACAGGAGACATCCAACCCAAAAAGATTCTGTGATGACTTGATGTGCCTTTGTTCTTTTGCGAGCAGATTCTCAGCCCGTGGTCCATGTGATTGCTTCAAGAAGTCAAGATTGGTCAGAACATGAAATTGCTGTGGACACCAGCCCTACAATAATTTACCAGGATGTGTCCAGTGAATCTCAGTCGGCCACTTCCACGATAAAAGCGTTGCTGGAACTTCAGCAGACAACAGGTGTGAAAACATGCAGTTTCAAAGCTTATTACTTGCTTAAGCAGCAGTTTGTGATAGGTTTTGTAATTAAAAAGCACCTATCTTAAATCAGCCTGATCCATTTTTCCTTATCCTCCAATATTTTGTTTAAATATTATATAATATTAACTTTGTACTTAATTAAACTTTTGCATTTAGAATCATAGAATCGTCTGGGTTGAAAGGGACCTTTTAGATTCTCCAGTTCAACCATTGACCTAACAGTGACAAAAGCCATCACTAAACCATGTCCTTCAGCACCACGTCTCCCCAGATTTTAAATACCTCCAGGGATGGTGACTCCACCACTTCCCTGGGCAGCCTGTTCCAATGCTTTGTAACCTTTTCAGTGAAGAAATTTTTCCTAATTTCCATCCTAATGCAGCTTAAGACCATTTCCTCTTGTCCCATGGCCTGTTCCTTGGGAGAAGAGACTACACTCTGGCTACACCCTCCTTTCAGGGAGTTGGAGAGAGCCAGAAGGTCTCCCCTCAGCCTCCTTTTCTCCAGGCTCAACACCCCCAGCTCCCTCAGCCGCTCCTCACAAGACTTGTTCTCCAGACCCCTCACCAGCTCTGTTGCCCTTCACTAGACATGCTTCAGCCCCTCAACGTCTTTCCTCTTGTGAGGGGCCAAAACTGGACACAGAGTCCTCAAGGTGGGGCCTCACCAGTGCCCAGTACAGGGGAGCCATCACTCACATATTTATATCAGAGGTTTATTTTATTACGTCATTTTATATATTGGAGCTTTACTTTATGTTTTTCTTTTCTTCTAAAGCAGTGAAGGACGCCCTCAAGATGGGGCCTCACCAGTGTCCAGTACTGGGGAGCCATCACTTCACTAGTCCACTCACCACATATTTATACCAGAGGTTTATTTTATTATGTCGTTTTATATATTGGAGCTTTACTTTGTTTTTCTTTTCTTCTAAAGCAGTGAAGGAAAAGTTAGAATCAAAGCCACGGCAGCCTACCATTGACTTGAGCCAAATGGCTGTCCCAATCCAGATGACCCAAGAAAAGAGACATTCTCCAGAAAGTCCTTCGATTGCTGTAGTCGAGTCGGAATTAGTTGCTGAATATATCACAACTGGTAAGTGACTGAAGCAGCGTGATGCTGGGTTTGCAGTTGAAGTCTGAGGACTTGTTTTTGGAGTTTTCTTAGGATGGGGTTTCATTTTTGTGGTTTTTTGCTGTAATTTGCTGTAGAGGAAATGAGTCTTTTCTTCTACTCTCGAGACCTCATGTAGGGGACTGAGCTGCTTTTCTGGGGCACAGTGGAGAACATTTCTAACTGAAACAAAGGGCTGTTGCTTCTAGACATTGTAGTTGAACAGTTTTCTGTTCCCTGATCTGATGGAGAGGACAGGCTTGTCCCACTTGTCTTTATGGAAAATATCTAGTAAGAAGAACGTAGAAAATGAAGTTACAGGAACCAAGTACTATTTTTTGTACATATTGAGAGGAGTCAGGCTTTGAGTTGGTTTAACACATATTTGAAAAATGTTACTTTCCAGGAGTAAGGGAGTTTTAAAGCCAGATGTACATTTAGCATGCTAATGTAATCCCCAGTTCCTTCATTTGCTAGAAGGCTTTGAACTGATAAATTTGCACTTTTTAAATACATTATTCAAATCAAAATTATGGCTGGGATTCAGGTCTTAACTTTTTAAACTCTTGACTCCTCCTGTCTGGTTGTCCATTTTGTGTAAGTCCTTAACTCCTGCTTCTCTCTGACTTTCCCTCCTACCCCAGGGTGTGAGCCCCTTCCCATATGTAGATGAGAGGATCAAATAACCTGTTTCCCATTTTAATTTCTTAAGTCCACATTATTGGTCCTCTCTACTTTATTTGGAAAATGAAAACAAAAGCGTGTTGAAAATCCTCATTGGAAAAGAGGAATAAAACTTGATTATATTAAATTGTATAAGTATGTCTCTAATTCCAGTGTTTTTAGTGTTAAATGCCTAATCTGGTATTTTCATTTTCCTGCTTTTTGCCTCCTCCCCTCGCTTCCATCCCTTGTATGGTCTGAATTTAAGAAGTTGTGTGAAATTGGAGCTGGGGGAAGGATGTTATTCTTTTAAATAACACTTACTGTATCTGGCTTCAATTTTGAATGTTTGAGGCATGCTCCCTGAATCTCTTAAAACAAGCTCAAAAGTATAATAAATAGTGTTAAGGGGATCTCCAATTAACAGTCCGTTATCTTCACTCACACAGATGTTGTTCACTGAGCTTCTAGTCAAGGTTCTGGGTTTTGCTGGGTCTTGCTGTAAAAGTTGATGTAAAACAGGGCCCTTTGCAGGGAGGATTGGAAATTACAGTCGGTATCTTTGTAGAATTAAGTCCTTCTCTGCAGCTTAGAAGTATGAAAGTTGAAAATTTCCTTGAGCTGTGATTACTACTTGAAATACTGGAATTCTTATAAAACCATGAGTTGATATACAGGAATCTGCAGGCTGCTTTGAATTGACCAACAGCAGTTTCTGCTACAGCCCAAAACTGGGTGTTTTGCTCTTAGATTTTAAGCCCTTCTGGTTTCTGTGAACACAGGGAATGCAGGTTTTTGGCTTTTGCTTTTTGTATTAACTTGCGCTTCTCGGGATTCATCAATAATCCACCTAGCTCAATTTTCTGCTCAAAATTCAGTAGTGAGATAGTAAACAGTCTGTAATCTGTTGTGAAATCTCCTTGCACGACCCTAGACCTAAGGATTAGGCACATTTTATATGGGAGCTGGGTTTCAGCATGTGTTTCCTCATGAGATGAAGGTCCCACACCTTAGTGTCACCGTTTTTTGTCTGTCTGCAGACTCAGGAAGACAACACTGTATTGCTTCACATTCGGAAGAATATCTACACAACCATATAGGTTAGAAACTTTATTTTTAAATGAAGCTTTACGATTGTGCAGGAACTGTTGGGGGATATCCGTGATGGATCTGGCACAGCATGCAGGCCGATATTGAATGAATCCAACTCCTTTCTTGGAGTGGAAAAGTAAAATTAGCATATTAATTCGAAATAGGACCTTTCTTTTAACTTTCAGGAAGGTCGCTAGAAACTTTTCAACTTGAAGTTACGTTAACAACCGCATTAAAATTTTGCTTGTTCTGCTTCAGTTAGTAATCATTTTGTAACTCAAAAGTTAATTAAAGCAAATATTTACGTATTGGTATGGACGGGTGTAAAGCAATTTAGATTCATGTCTTATCAGTGACTGCAATATAGAATGGTTTGTCGTTGTTTTTTCTTCTCGGCAAAAGATTATTTCTCTGTCAATCCACTTTTTAATTACAGAGCCATTAATGCAAGTGCATAACTCGTGCTGGATCTGTTCTAAAAAGTGACATAGACCCACGATAAAATCTCCATCTTTCGGTCTGTGACTTCTTATCAACCTCACTTGCTCTCACAATACCCAAACACTTTGTAATTGCAGATCTTTCAAATTTTAACCTGTGCTCTGGAGAGTATTTCTTGGTTTATCAGCGGCAGCAATGTGGTGAGCAAGGCTTGCTGTTCTTAATTGCAGTCAATCGTGCAGGTGCTTTTAATGGTGTGAAAATTGCAGAATAACTCGTGTTCTACAGAGTTATGCTGGTGCTGTATAGAGAACCCAGCTGAAAATGGAGTCTAAATTCTGCTTGCAAAGTTGGTGTGATGGGAGAGGGAGGCTGGAGGAGGTTTGGACCAAGAGTCATCCATCTCAGGAGACATTCAAAACCTGCATGGGCAAGTTCCTGTGCAACCTCCTCTAGGAGGACCTGCTTTGGCAGGGGGTTGGACTAGATGATCTCCAGAGGTCCCTTCCAACCCCATATGATTCTGTGATTCTGTCATTACTCAAGAGACAAAAGCACAACTCCTGAGATGCTACTTTAAGTGGCTTCTCAGAATAGCTCTGCACTTCCAGGTGGAAGCTGGCATACGGCAAAAGATCTTTTTTTTGTGCTCAGAACTTTCTTTTCACTCATTTACGCTTTCCGTTGAAGCTTCAATAGTTGCAGTTAGCGCGGTTAGCTGTGGAGAAGTGCCACTCACCTCTTTCCTTGCAGTCAGCCACCGGTCCCAGCCCCACCAGCAGTCGTCTCAGCCCCAGAGGACCCTGCTGCAGCACGTGGCTCAGTCGCAGACGGCAACGCAGACTTCTGTCGTGGTGAAATCGATCCCCGCATCCTCCACAGGCGCCATTACCCATATCATGCAACAGGTTGTACCCTTTCTTTTCCCAACAGTCTATAAACGTATGAATTTTGTAGGACCAGGGCTTGTTCTCCATGAGGATGTTGCGTTGCTCCCCCTGAAAATGGGAAGCCTAAGGGAAGATTAAGAACTTAATTATAATATTGCCTGTTTTGATGGTGACGGTGGTGGGATAAAAGGGAAGCAGTTGATAGGATGATTTGAGATTGTTAAATAAGAGGTATTAACAGCAACTGTGAGAAAGATAGTGCTCCCTGCATGAGTTCTTGCTGTCTCTGTCACCTCTCCAACAGCAATAAGCTTTTTTTCTGTATTGCAATGCTCAAGGCTCTTTAGGTTGTGTTGGTGTCAGTGTTGAGGGAAGAGGGATGGAGCAGGATCTGGTCAGCACACAGAGCACACGGTGTCTTTTTTTCACTGGAGGGCTTTAGTTTGTGAATATGGAAACTTCTCTGAATGAAGAAGTAAGTTCATATTTAGACCAGTACAATGAGGATCCCAAACACTTCAAACAAACACTATAGCTTGTGTTGAAGCCACTCTGATGCTGTTGTTCAAGACCTGCTCCAACTCTGCAGTGCTTTAATTTCAAGGTAGCTTGTGGTGAAGTCATTCTGAAGCCACTCTGATGCTGTTGTTCAAGACCTGCTCCAACTCTGCAGTGCTTTAATTTCAAGGAACCTCAGCTGCGGATCAGGACACCACTGTGTTAGGGTTATAAACCCACTTCAAAGAGAATATTCTCACAGGTGTTTGAGTAGCTGCCTCCTCTTGCTAAGGCCACTTATTAATACATTTATACCATGGTATGCAAAGTATAGTAACGTAGATCTCTTACTCCTTCAAATCCCTCAAAAAAATCTGTGTTTGTGCAATGCCCCAAATAAAATTGCAATAAAGATTTTGAGGAAGGAAAGAGAAGTTCCCTGCTGAAATAGGGTAGGCTGTAGGTATATGGAGAGCTGCAGAAGAAATCATGGAAAGGACGAAAGCTCTCAAGAGGCAGAATAAGAATTTACTGTGCAGGGAGACTCTGGCTTTAATGGGGAGCTACTGGTTCAACCACCTGCTAATCCCTGCTGCTTCATGCCATCTTGGGGCCATGAAGATGCTGGGAGGGCTGGAGCCTCTCTGCTGGGAGGACAGGCTGAGGGAGTTGGGGGGGTTCAGCCTGGAGAAGAGAAGGCTCCAGGGAGACCTTGGAGACCCTTCCAGTCCCTAAAGGGGCTCCAGGAGAGATGGGGAGGGACTCTTGATCAGGGAGTGGAGCCGTAGGACGAGGGGTAATGGTTTTAAATTGAAAGAGGGGAGATTTAAATGAGGTATTAGGAAGAAATTCCTCGCTGTGAGGGTGGTGAGGTCCAGGTTGCCCAGTGAAGCTGTGGCTGCCCCATCCCTGGAGGTGTTCAAGGCCAAGCTGGACGTGGCTTTGAGCAACCTGGTCTGGTGGGAGGTGTCACTGCCCATGGCAGGGGGTTGGAACTGGATGATCTTTGTGGTCCCTTCCAACCTGAACCATCCTGTGATTCTGTATCCAACTGCCATGCAACCTTAGAGGCTTTGATCCTTAATCTGACACACGTGAGGGCAACATAATCCAACCCCATATCATTCTGTGATAATCTCCTCTGAGCATTAGTTATACAGGTATTGTTGTCACATTAAAGCTAGATATACCGTATTTTAACATGATAAGAATACCTCTTGGTTGCTTACATATTACAGAATCTCTGTGTAAATGTGTCTTTATACGTGAATTGGGAGCCTGAAATGGTAAAAAAAGTTAAATTAGTCCGATTGAAACATTTTTAGATTTTGTATTATTGTGAAACTATGTTATAATTTCTATTTCTCTTTACTAACTTGCTCTACCTTCTTCCTATTAAGGCCTTAAGCAGTCACACTGCGTTTACCAAACACAGTGAACAGCTTGGAACTGAGGAAGGAGAAGTGGAAGAGATGGACACCTTAGATCCTCAGACTGGCCTGTTTTACAGATCTGCCCTGACACAATCCCAGGCGCCAAAACAGCAAAAACTGAGTCAGCCGCAGCTGGAACAGACTCAACTGCAAGTGAAAACTCTGCAGTGTTTCCAGACTAAGCAGAAGCAGACAATCCACCTGCAGGCCGACCAAATCCAGCACAAACTCCCACAAATGCCCCAGCTTTCTATAAGGCATCAAAAGCTAAACCCCCTGCAGCAAGAGCAAGCACAGACCAAACCAGATGCACAGCACCCCCCCCACCATATGGTGGCCAAAGAAAGGCAACTCCCTACCTTAGTGGCGCAGCCACAGCAAACTGTAGTACAGGTGCTGGCAGTAAAAACCACGCAGCAGCTGCCCAAACTGCAACAGGCACCAACGGCACAAAAAATCTACGTGCAACCCCAACCCCCCCAGAGTCAAATGCAGCTACCTGCCTCTTCAGAGAAACAGCCAGCGAGCCAGGTAACGGAATATTGATAGCATGCAAAATAACACCTCGCTGTTCAAGGAAAAACAAACAAACAAAACAAAACAAAAAAAAAATAGAATTCAAAAACACCAACCCTCTCGCTGTAGCAGTGTTTTGTCCTGGCAAGAGAGAACTCCTCATTCCGCTGGTGTTAATTACCCCCGTCAGAAGGTTGACACTAGGAAAGAGAAGCACATGTTATCGGGGAAAAAAAAAATATTAAAAAAAATCCATAGAGCTCACAAACGTGTTTTGTTGGACAGTTCTTAGGAATTTCTGCCACCACTGGTGCATGGAATTTATCCCTAATTATTTTCTTTTAATTTTTAGATAACGACACGTTATTAATTTCCGTTCCCGTAGCACTTTTTATTTCTGTGGAAATAAAGATGGATACACTGCAGTCTCCTAAGGCTCTCCATTGTACGTCTTCCTTTGTAGTTTACATCTTCCTGAAATTATATGGCTTTTGTGTACAGGAGTAACTTGATTTTCCTTGGGAGGGGAAAAAGTAAAGATTGAGGAACATGAAAAAAAAAAAAAAAGAAAAAAACCAAATGTATTTTATCTAACTCCAGAAAAGTACAATTATTTTTTTTTTTTTTCTTTTTTTTGGCCCTTTCAGGAATACATGTGAAAACAAGAGGGTTAACAAACATCACATGGGGATGTAAATCCCAAAGGAAAACAAGGCTGCTGTGGTATTATACTTCTACAATCCTTATCTAGCGGCCTAAAAAGCTGCTTTTCCCCAGGCTTCGATTAACTGTTACCAGATCATTGCTAATTCCTTTGTTAAAAACACTGAGTTTCAACTGTCTTCCTAATAGCAAGTATGTTGTTTGTGCCATACTGTCCTTGGAAATATTGATTAGATTTTTTTTTTTTTTTAAGAAAAATATATATAAAATAATCTAGCTGTAACATGCACAACAAAAATTTGATTTTCAGGTGCAGCCTCCAATTATAACGCAAGGATCCACTGTTACAAAGATAACTTTTGAGGGGCCTCAGCCTCCTCCTGTTTCAAAAGTAGCAGGTTCTGTGCCCAAACTGGCGTTGCCGGTCCCCAGCCTATTCCCCACGCAGGCGCCCGCGACGACAGCCGTAGCAGATATTTTGAGAGTGTCTATGGTGGAAGCTCAGATTGATTCAAACCTAGAACCTACCCTAGTGGATCCCAATTTTTTTTTTTATTCTTTTTTTTGGCCTTTTCAGGAATACATGTGAAAACAAGAGGGTTAACAAACATCACATGGGGATGTAAATCCCAAAGGAAAACAAGGCTGCTGTGGTATTATACTTCTACAATCCTTATCTAGCGGCCTAAAAAGCTGCTTTTCCCCAGGCTTCGATTAACTGTTACCAGATCATTGCTAATTCCTTTGTTAAAAACACTGAGTTTCAACTGTCTTCCTAATAGCAAGTATGTTGTTTGTGCCATACTGTCCTTGGAAATATTGATTAGATTTTTTTTTTTTTTTAAGAAAAATATATATAAAATAATCTAGCTGTAACATGCACAACAAAAATTTGATTTTCAGGTGCAGCCTCCAATTATAACGCAAGGATCCACTGTTACAAAGATAACTTTTGAGGGGCCTCAGCCTCCTCCTGTTTCAAAAGTAGCAGGTTCTGTGCCCAAACTGGCGTTGCCGGTCCCCAGCCTATTCCCCACGCAGGCGCCCGCGACGACAGCCGTAGCAGATATTTTGAGAGTGTCTATGGTGGAAGCTCAGATTGATTCAAACCTAGAACCTACCCTAGTGGATCCCAAAAAGGAGGCCGTGTCCGCTAGTAAGCTCGTTAGCCAAGCAGAGTCGTCACCTTGTACCCGGGTGCCCAGGGGGACCGCAGTAGGGATGACGGCAACTTCCATCCCCCAGCAACAGACACGTGCAGAATCCAGTTCCAGTCCTCCTGCTGGTGGTCCTACTTTAACAGAGAGGAAACCCGATGCACACGGAATGCCTACAACAAACCAGTTTGTACACATTCAGAGTATGTCCCAAAAGAAAGCTGAAGAGAGCTCACCAGAAATTGTTATCCAGGTAAGAGAAGACCAGAGCGAATAAGGCAAAAGGTTGAGCAGAGCAAACTCGTGTCTAGTGTGATGATAACAACTGAACGGTGTTCCAGGATTTTTGTTTTCCTTCCCCTCTTTTTGGTTCTTTTCCTCCTTTGTAATGGATTTACTCCTTCATAAGCGTGTAATTCTTAAATTGAGCTCGAGTTTCTCTAGTGCTGTATCATTCCCCGTGTCCTCGGTGTCTCCCTTTCTTTTTCTGTTCAGAAAACAAACCAAGATCATCTCATTTTGCAAAGTACTCTCATTTGAGATGCTTAAAAATGCGACCTTCACCGCTTACCGTGGAACTACAATGTAGAAATTTTTATGGTATCAATTAATCTTACCACCGAGTATAAAATTAGCACCCAAAAAAGTAAGGGTTTTTTTCATTTTTTTCAGCAAAATAAGGTCTGGATTCAGAAGAAGGCTTGTTAATGTTCAAAATCAGCCCGGACAGGTTCCTGTGCAACCTGCTCTGGGTGGACCTGCTTTGGCAAGGGGGTTGGACTAGATGATCTCCAGAGGTCCCTTCCAACCCCATATCATTCTGTGATTCTGTAACTTCACTTTTAACCAGTCTTACAGCTTCTGAGATAAAATGACTATTGATTCTTAGCCTAAATGCCTTGAGTTGTTGCCTAAACTGATAATTGATATTTTCATTGATTTTGTTGTCTTAAATATGATGTTTTATGATGTAGTACGTGGTCAGAATGTCAACCAAGGAAGCATTTAAGTCATCTGAGGACTTGTAGTCCTATTATATGACTATTTTGTTGGCGTTGTGTATATTCACACAAATGACAGCATGGCTTGAATCAGTCTTATTGCATATTGTATTTGTGTTGAAGATACTTCTGATGTGGGAAAGTAATCTGTGGGAAAGTAATTTTTCATGCTACTTTGTAAAACCTTCATTGCAGTGAACCTTGCTTTTGTAGAAATCATCATTTTTTGTGCTCGTTTTTTAGTCCTCTTTTCCCTAAATAGACAAACACCTCGCTTTTGTAGAAATCATCATTTTTGTGCTCGTTTTTAGTCCTCTTTTCCCTAAATAGACAAAGGTAGATTTCTGTTGCTGTATATTTTGAGAATCTGCATCGTTTATCGTTGTGGCGCTCTACGACCCGATTCAAAAGTAGAACACTGCCCAGAATTTCAGTTGTATAAAGCTGTAAATTTTATTTCTACAATCTGTGGAAATGATGAGCAGAAATAAATAGCTTAGATCCGTTGTGTTTCCTCAGCAGCAGCTCTGAGCGGGGCCGAAGCTCGTATTGTATCATCCATGAAAACCAAAGCTGGTCCAGACGTTCCTATCTGAACGTCTTGTCTGAAAAAGATAAGAAAAAAAGATAAGGCTGAGGAAAGCATTGCCTCTGCTTTGCATCTGGGGAACGATGGGTGGTGGACGTTGGGGGTTGAGCTGTTGGTTGTGCTCTCACAGCCCTTTAGTGAAGATCCAAGGCCAAAATCAGTGTCTTAACAGCAAAATTGTTCAAATTTTACCTTCCACCACCTCATTTGGTGAAAGGGTGGTGTGAGGCTTTAGCAAATACAATGTGACGTGCTTATGTAGGGAATATTGCTCTTGGAAACCCAATATAGCTTTAGCAAATAGAATGTGACGTCCCATGAGCCTTACGTAGGGAATATTGCTCTTGGAAACCCAATATCCCATTTCCATGAGTAGCTGCACTCACACAGATGCCTTTCCCTGTGAAAACTGCCCGTTTGAACTTAAAAATCTTTTCTTTCTTGCAGACCATCCCTCACTATTCCATCCCTTGTCACTCCAGCTCCAACGTGGTGGTGGAACCCAGCGGGCTCCTGGAGCTCAACAACTTCACCAGTCAACGCCTCGATGACGAGGAGACGGCCATGGAGCAAGATGTGGACAGTAGCACGGAGGACGGGACCGAGCCCAGCCCTTCTCGAAGTTCTGCTGAACAATCCTAAGGAATTGGGACACCGGGAGTGCACTTTAAAAAATGCTCTTGGGGATTTCGTGTATCCAAGATGCCCTTTGTATTGCGATGTCTTAGAGCACTTTGCCTATTCAAGTTCTTCATCGGACCCTTGAAGCATCAGTGCGTTTTAACGAGATGGTATTGGGGAAAAAAAAAAAAAAAAGCTGCATCTTAACAATTGTTTCTGGAAAAAAAAAGCTTAAAAAAAAGGTGTAGTTACCAAGATTTAGTAAAACCCGAGACGGTGCAACGTACTCCTGGTAAAAAGCAAATCTGCAGCGAATTCTCCAGCTCGTGCTCTTGAAGCCCTTGCCCAGATACTGAAAAAACCTTTCAGTGAAAAGGGATCGTTATTTTACTGTGTCTTTTTGTTAGCTGTTGAGCAAAACACCATCAAAAAAACAAAAAAAAAAGAGGAAAAAAAAAAAAATGTTTAATAAATATTTGTATTTTTAAATAGCATGTGAGAGAAAAAGTGTTTCTGACAGTGCTGGAAAAGCCCCAGGAATTTTGGAATTGGTCAGCTTTCTTGCACTTGTGCTCACTTAAGAGTTAAGATTTTTTCATAAGCCGAAAAAAAAATATATAGTTTATTTTTTTAAAATTCTTGTTGGTGAATGTTTGGAAATGAGCAAAATCACTAACTGGTAGCAAAGTGGATTTTTGTTTTCATGCTTTACAAGAGGTAGGGTAAGGGTGTACGAAGCATTTCTTTGTGCCATAAAGCACATGAAACGCTCGTCTGCTCTAGTTTAATCTTTGGTTATTTATTTAAATATAAAATTTTAAAGTGAGGCCAAGTTGTTTGCGAAGTTCCTGTGAAACAGGCAGGTGTGTTAATTCTAATACAAACGGGGCTGGTGGTGGTGAGTGGGGGGGGATGTATTTTGCTATAAATGACTTTTTTTTTTTCAAAATTGGGGATAAGCGGTTTGGCCTCTTTCAAAGCTGAACCTCCGAATTTCGAAGTGAGCTAAGGCTTTTAAAAAAAAAAAGAAAAATCTGTATTTTACTCTTACATGCTGTTTTTCAAGCGATCATTTGGGGAGTTTAAAAGCCAAACTGGCTTTGCAGTGGTAGGTTTTGGAAATTAGCCTTACAACTTGGCTTGTTGAAGCAATACATGGGGGTTTTGTCACCGTTACAAGCCACCGAGAGCTTGGTTTGGGTTCAGGTGGGATAAATAATACAGTCTGCTAATGAAGACAATACTTTTTTTTTTTTTTTCTTTTCCAAAATGTATATAAAAACACGTTTTTAACTGTTTTGTATAGATTTCATTATAAATAACGAAGCATTTTAAGAACTTGGACATATCATTTAATTGTATATACATCTATCAGCCTAACTGCCCACTTTCTGGTGCTGAAGTACTACTGTAAGTAGATTTCATCCAAAGTCTAATACAGCTTTTTTTGCGTCAGTCCTTTTTTTTTTTTTTTAAAAAAAAAAAAAGCTGTGATTTTACTGTTGATATTGTAGTTAAGATTAAATTCCGACTAGAGTAACTCAAGCTCAAAATACAAAGCCTAAAAACCTGCTTTATCTTACTTTTCCTGAGTATTCACCTCTGTGAGAACACGCAGTATCCCCTAGATGGTGCTCTTGGTCTTTCATCTAAGAGTTATTTTATCAATTAAGTCCCTATGACTCTCATAACTTTGTTTTTCCTCCTTCTGTTTTCTTTTCCATCAAAATTAGTTCCAAAATGATGTGATTTATTATGATGAAACGTCCTGGTAAATTCAACGTGCAAATGCCAGAATAATGGGGTAGGAAACTTAATTATTTTCACGTTTCCTTTATGTTGGAAGAGATACTGGGTTTGGTTTCTGCTGTTTCTAGTGCTCAGGGTGGGAGAGAGAAATATGTATGAAATGAAACATGCCATATTTCTTTCTTCAGTAAAAAATAACCCTATAATTATGCCAGGTTCAGATTTTGACGGTTGTTTGGGAGCTTTTACTCGTTTTAGTGAAATAACGGTGACCAACAAGAGTGACCAAGTGATCATCCAAGTCCTGATCCAAGTTCCACGTTGCTCCGGAATGACAAAAAGCTATTTATTGCAGATTTTACTGGGATGGGATGGTCTGTTGTGCTTTGCAGATACCAGCATGAGGCACAGTCTGTAGTTTTCCATCCAGCTATGGAAAGCCCAGAGCAGATAATACCCAATTCTGTGGTTTATATTGTGTTTTCGTTGTCACCTGGGGGTCTTGCCGTATTTTGAGTGTCCCCGACAGATCTAGGACTGAAAGACCTTGAGAATATAAAATAGAGAAAGGTTTTTTCTTAAGTGCTTTTGCTCAAGAACTTTACTTTAAATTATAGTTTAAGGTTTAGGTGAATATATATGCTCTCTCCAGCCAAAAGGGGACACTCAATTATGGTTTAAGGTTTAGGTGAATATATATGCTCTCTCCAGCCAAAAGGGGACACTCGGAAATGGCATAATGGGAATTCAGCGCTCCTGATGCACTAAGGAAATTGTTGAATTCTGTTCCAGTTTATTCCAATATTTTATGTAAGACTTTTGTTTTCATCTTTAGTGATGACTTTACAGCAAAGGTATGAACAACTACGGTGAATTATTTTGACAGTTCCTTGAAAACAGCAGATCTCTCTCTTTTAAAAACAGGAAAGCTTTTAGCGTTGCTGTGAGGGATAATTGTTTTCAGACTGGCAAATGGAAGCACATGGAGGGGGGTATATCTAGGGGTCACAGAAAACATTTAGAAAAAGGACTTCTGCAATCGATGACATTCCTTCTTGAAATTCCTCTCTTGATGCTTTTCCTAAAACCGAGCTGAATTTTTTCACATTCTCTAACGTGTCTCCTGGAGCACTTCACCGTATAAACACCTTTAATCATAAGGAATATGCAAGTTGAGCTAAAATTTAGGGTTGAGATGTTAATTTTTTTCTTAGGCAATTGGTTGGGGGGTTTTTTTGAGAAATGTAAGAAAATGTTCTTGAAGCGTTTGGCCTTCTCCCCCTTTTTGTGAACTCCAGGCAGCGATTTTTTCTTACCTGCTCCTGGGATACTTCCTTCATCCTCCTGCAGCCACGTTTCCGTTCCTCAGAGCCTCAGAAATGCCACCAGGCTGCTAAAAATAAAACGTCGGCGCGCATGATCACATTTGCATATCCCTTCTCCCTAATTAAGCTGCGTCTTCCTTCCTGAAATGAATTTGATGGTCCCTCCTTGGAACAGGAGAAAGGTGGTGATGATCTTTGGTACTAGGAACTTGCAGGCTGTGAGAGAGTTGCTGTGATTTCAGCATTTTACTACGATAGGACATGAATTTTCAAAAAAGGATGATAAAAAAGTAAAATTAGAGGAAGCAGTGAAACAAGGGAGGAGTGATGCCCACTTTAAAGATGTGAACGGTCGCAGGGGACGACACTGTTCAGTCTGGAAAGAGTTAACCATCGGGGTGGAAGTATTTTCAGTCTGGGTCTTTCTTCCCCTGACAAAATGGGCTTTTGAAATTTCAGGGGGAAAATAGAAAAGCAGAAGGTACTTGCAGTTGTGTCATCTTACATGTGGAGGATCCTTTGAACAGAGTGCATGACTGAATAGATGGGATTTAAAAAAAACTCCAGACCTAAGACCTTTCAAAAGAAAATCAAAAGTCAGAGAAACGTAAAACTATATGCTTTTCTTCTCTAGTGTATAAATAGAAGGGTTTCACAGATGAAGGTGGTTGTGCGTCCCCGAAGCTACGCTGCAAAGGTAGATGGTTTCAGCTTGTTCAATCCAGCAAAGACTCTGAGCATAAGTTATGATAATGAACTAGAAAAATCATACTATTGTGAGGTGTGCCTGTATTTGAAAAAATAGGACATTTTGCGCCTTTGTGTCTGTGCTGGGCTCAGGATTTGCTCCTTTCCCTAGGTTTGATGTAAACCATGAAGAATCATAGAATGGTTTGGGTTGGAACGGACCTTAAAGATTGTTGAGTTCCGCCCTCCTGCCCTGGGCAGGGACACCTCCCACCAGACCAGGTTGCTCAAAGCCCCATCCAGCCTGGCCTTGAACCCCTCCAGGGATGGGGCAGCCACAGCTTCTCTGGGCAACCTGGGACAGGGTCTCACCATCCTCACAGCAAATAATTTCTTCCTGAGATCTCTTCTCAATCTCCCCTCTTTCAGTTTAAAACCATTCCCCCTCATCCTATAGCTCCCCTCCCTGATCAAGAGTCCCTCTCCATCTTTCCTGGAGCCCCTTTAGGGACTGGAAGGGGCTCTAAGGTCTCCCTGGTAACTTTAATTCATTATCTTCAATCTTGATATTGTGGTGAGACCCTGGCCCAGGTTGCCCAGACTTAATTCATTATCTTCAATCTTGGTATTGTGGTGAGAGCCTGGCCCAGATTGCACAGAGAAGCTGTGGCTGCCCCATCCCTGAAGGGGTTCAAGGCCAGGTTGGACGGGGCTTTGAGCAACCTGGTCTGGTGGGAGGTGTCCCTGCCCAGGGCAGGGGGTTGGAACTGGATGATCTTTGAGGTCCCTTCCAACCCAAACCATCCTATGATTCTGTCACTTGGAGTCTTTTCTCTCCAACAAGCCTTGGGGCTACAGGTTGAAATGTGATAAACCTTGTATCTCGTATAGTTGAGCTGGAACTAGACAGTTCCCTTGGTATCTTAAGGCTTTAAACTATGAAAAAAAATAAAAATCAGTTCTTCGTGGTACCTTGAGGCAGCCGGAGCTGGGACTGGCAAGTGGAGGTAACTGGTGATCCTGGCACTTGGAGTCTTTTCTCTCCAACAAGCCTTGGGGCTACAGGTTGAAATGTGATAAACCTTGTATCTCGTATAGTTGAGCTGGAACTAGACAGTTCCCTTGGTATCTTAAGGCTTTAAACTATGAAAAAAAATAAAAATCAGTTCTTCGTGGTACCTTGAGGCAGCCGGAGCTGGGACTGGCAAGTGGAGGTAACTGGTGATCCTGGGTTAGTTGTGATGGTGGTGGTTTTGTTTCTGTTTCTCTGTGCTTGGGTGAAAGGTTGCTGGAGCAGAGTAAATAGGATTTGGGTACCTGGGAACTTGCTCATCGTTTCTAGAGAAAAGGGTCTTTGAATTTCTTGGGGCAGGCAACATACCATGAGGTTTTTAAGTATTGGGGACTGAAGAGTAACAGCACGGCCTTGAATCATTTTTGGAGCCCAGGACTGTTAAAATTGTCCAATAATCACACAATCGTAGAAAAAATACTGTTCCGAATCAAGCCCTACTCAAAACTTCATGTGATTTTTGGTTTTGCCCAGTTCTTGGCGGCTGTTCAAAACCAAAATCTCTTGTGATGACATCTTGATGTCTTTCACCGCTTTCCATCTCTCAGTAAGTTTTTAGCAGTTTTGAAATTTTCTGGCATCCTGTTTTCTGTAGCTGCCAAAATTAAATGGATTTTCTCCATAAAGAAAAGACACTCCTATCACCTAACCGAGGGTGGTTAATTGGGACCTTGGGCTCTTTGGGTTGTCATTGAACCCTTCAGAGGGTGGTAGACACATCAGCCCATCTCTCATGGCCTACATGTGGGATTTAGACTCCATAGAATGGTTTGGGTTGAAAGGGACCTTCAAAGATCATCTCATTACATCACTTGAACGCCCGGACTACTTAGCATGAATCCTCTGTGACAGAGCTTTTGCTGAAACTTTGGAAATTCTTAGTGTCTTCTGTCTAATTTATGACTCGTTAGAGCAAACGCTGGTTGGGAATTGCTGTCTTGTTTGGTAACAAATCCAGCTCTTCTCACAGCTGTTGGCCAGAACTGTCCCAAGAGCTTGTAGACTCCGGTACTTTGGGACTTCCCTCACACCAGTCTCTACCAGAGGCCAACTGAAGACTCTGGAAGTCTCTTTGCACGACCTTTTATTGCTGGGTTTTATTTATTTGTGCATAACAGGCAGGCTGTCTCTAGGGGTGACAGTGAGTCTGTTTCTGCCTGTGGTCATCACCATGGTCTTTGGCTGTCTCCATAAGTGTTAAACTTTTGAGCTGGATGTTTGGTCAGGCCCAACTTTTCCTACAGAGCAGATAATCCTTCACTGCCAAGTTACTCGTTGATATAGCAGCTTTTTTAAAAAGCAAAGCAAGCCCCTGTGCAGGATATCTGTTGTTTGGTGTCTCTTCCAGGTCTCTCTTTTCCAAATTCTCTTTGTTCCTGGAAAGCTGCTTTCCCCATAAATGTGGTTCAGACCTGTAATCTGCTCTGCTCTCTCCCGTTCTTCTTGCAGGAATCATCAAATCACAGAAAGCTTTGGGTTGGAAGGGACCTTTAAAGGTCATCTAGTCCAACCCTTCTGCCATGAGCAGGGACATCTTCGACTAGATCAGGTTGTGCCAAGCCCTGTCCAACCTGGCCTTGAACCCCTCCAGGGATGGGGCAGCCACAGCTTCTCTGGGCAACCTGGGCCAGTGTCTCA